GTTTCCAAAAGTCACCCAATTTGAAGAGGACAAAATTCATAAATATTTCTTGCAATAGAGATCCACACATCCAAAGCAGGTATTGTATTAGAAACCAGACCCATTTCAAAGATATTCTTGGAGAAACTGAATCATTGAATAGGCAAGAAATACTTGTCCTTGAAACATTTCCAGTTTATAACTCCAACAACCCTGAACTAGGAGCGTGCTAGGATATCAAATGATTTTCCAAAACCACCTGAAAAGAAGCCAGAGACGCTCCAGGATTTATTTTTTCTTAAAGAGCTTAATATCTTCTCTATACCAAAAGTACATTGCTTCTAGCCTGAACAGGGAGTTTTCTGCCAAGACTGCGGGAAAGTAAAAAAAATCCAGGACACAGAATATTACACTCAATTAATTACTCACTTAATTGCTCTCTTAACAGCCTAATGAATAGAACAAGTTTCAGTTTCAGTATGTATATGTAGCCCAAAGTTTCAAGCCCAATAGAGGAGACGGGACTGATTTGAAATGTCTGTGCTAAGATCAGACATGTTCGTGTAACCAGTAGTAAACACTCAGAATAAATAACCCTTGCTTTCCACCCTGAGCTAACATGTAGGTTGTTTTCTGTACAACCTGCAAAGACAACATTATGTGTCAGGGAAGCTGACAGCCTCAATTAAACTTAAGAGAACCTGGCTCATCTTAGATCCCAGGCCAGTGGACCACCATGTGTCTGTCAGTGGATCTTCTTACTTTCTTCACTTCTTTGGCCAGGACCTGGTTGCACTATTGACTCAACTTATGTTTCTGAGCCAGTAGTCTGAAAAGTATCCCAAGGCACACACAACTTTCATTTCAACCTTCCTGAGCCACACATCAAAGCGATACACCAGGAAGCCAGCTGGCAAGAAGCTGGTTCCAAATGTTTGCATAAACTGCAAGTTAACTATTAAGCTATTGGCAAACATCCCAATTCCAGTCAGAGGCACTTGCCCTCATTAAAGCCCAACAAAATAAAACAACCAAAGTCTCTAAGCTAAGCCACTCAAGATGCTACCTATGTAAAACAAACATTTCATTTTAACGGTCAGATTCAATTTGGCTATACTCACTCTCTGCACTGTGTTTCTGCATAAGGCATCTTGCCATTTAAAAGCAAACCTGCCTGTCCTTCCTAGCAAACCAAAAATCACCTTCTTTTCCCTCTACTAACAGCTTCGCAAAAGAAATAACTGATGGGGGTAGGGGCAGTGTTTATTATTTTTCTTTTTTTAAGAAACACATAGTTCTCTCAGACATTCCGAGTCTTAAATGTCATACTTACCTTGTTGAAAATTCTGCAGGAAAAGCTGATGCATGCCATTTCATCTACAGACAGTATTATGATACCTGCTGTCAACTCTTTTATAATCCTGAAGTTCAAGACAGTCATTTTTTGGTTTTGCAATGGAAATTTAGCTTTGGCATTAACAATGGAGAGAATGGGCACATGTACACAGATAATTCAGTCAGACATGAGCTCAGTCAGACTGTACTCCAAGCTGGCCGGACATGAGCCAGCTCTCGTTCACAAGCCATGTAACTGTGTTAGCACAGCACTGTGCCCACACTAATAAAACCTGCTGAGAAGCAGGGTATATTAGGCTGGGCACAGTCCTACACTGTCTGGCCAACTTCAACCAAGGACAGAGGATGCTGGGTCTGTCTGTACCCATCATGTACATACGCATGCCTACTCTTAGGACTGACTTACGTGCATATCTTCTTCTGAAGATTTAATTTCTTATGTTGTGAATTAGAGGGCTAGTATACATCACCATACAGTTGAGGTTTTAAGTACCTTCCTTGACCATAACCACGATAATTCCTTGTAGCTGTTCCAATGAAGACTTACAAAAAGAGAATGCTTACTAGCACTACAGGGCAATGAGGGGATAGGGCAATTGAATGGATGCTATTTACACAAAAGTACTTCCAGGAGCTCTGAAACATAACTGCCCTTTCTAGTAGTACCATTTCCCCAAGGCATTTATTCTGTTGTGGAATTTAAGAATTGTAACTAAGTTCTTGTCAACATCTCAAAAACAGAGAACACATTATAAGTAGTATTCACATCTATTTCAAAGTAAACAAACAAATAGAGAATTAAGCTATTCATTGGAAGAACAATGACTCCTAGTGATTAGAAAAAGCCAGAAAATGAAATTATGGAAAGAGATCAGGTAATACAACAAATCACTAGTTCTTTGAAGTTCTGCTCCAAAGACACATGCAACTAAACCCATCTTTGCCCATGCAAGGAAATTTACTCAGTGTTCCAAGGATGGAAAAAACCCATATATTAGTAATCTACTGACACAGAAACCCAAGGACAGGTGTTCATCTCTGAGCTCAAATAACTGGCCCGAAAGATCAAGGTATAAAATTGTAACATGAACACGTTAATAACACCAAGTCTTCCTTAATAACAAATGCCCTGGAGCAGCTTAAGGCTGACACAACTTCACCATTTTTTATTTCCTTCATTTAAAAAGGAGATTAAAAAAACAAAAGCAGATTTAGTGAGCTACATACTTGATATTTAGGAAATGCAGTAAGAAACCCTTCAATTATAAAACACTATCTGTCCCAGCCCATTCTCTTTTGCCCATGAAAAGGCAGACAGGGTAAAAAAGCCACTTATGAGACTTCTGTCTCTATTTCAGAGTAATTTCTCAGTATCTTTAACTTTTCTGTTGCCTAAAAGAAGCATCCCGCATTTTGAAATGAACTACAGATTGCTGAATACTTATTGTATTTAAGGTATCTTCAGCAGCCTTCAATCTCAAAGCCATTGATGTGAACTGGGAAAGTTTAGCTTATGCAAAAAGCAAATTTAATCTGGGCAGTAGCCTTAGAATCAAATCGTAAGTTTTCTTATGCCCAATAGTATTTCAAAAATAGAACTCATAGTTGGATTTATGCTTTAACATTCATTGTTTGAGTCCATTTGTATACTCGTGTTACTGTGAATGCAAAACCCATAAAAAGGGAGACTGAGGTACCAATAATCAGAGAACAGAGATAAAGGAGGAAGGTTTAAGGAAAGATCTGTGTTATTTCTCATTAGAATAGCCTGCATGCTGAAAAAATACTAGATAGTATTACTCAGTATTTAGATCTGCAATAATATCTGCTAAGTATAATCTAAGATCTAACATAGATTGTTTTTATTTCTTGGGTAAAATTACTTATCTGACTTCAGGAAGATGAATTCGGTATTCACAGAGGGTTTTATGAGAGTAAGATTTTTGAGAGAGTAAAAAAAAAGGCATTCTTCATTTTGATTTACAGGATGTGGAAGAATACTCGAAAAAATACTGGCTAGAACAAGTTCTAACATTCATTGCTGGTGACAATCAAGACAACGAAATAATTTTTTGGCTAAGCAGCAACACTGGATATGTGCCTGCAATGTACTATGAGTGTAAAGTCCATACATCATGCACACCTGCATAAGAAAAAGAAGTCTCAGTGCACAATTTTCAGAGAGAAGCTGAACCTTACCCTTGGTGACAGAAGGAATGCTTTTTGCATCTGAATTGAGTAACTAGTTCATTCAAGTTTAAAAAACTAAACACACTTTGAAAATATGGAAGTTTATCTTCCTCAAGCCATTAGTTAAAAAGACAGATAAAAGAATGCTACTCTACAAAACCTTACAAAGGACAAGGTGAATAGAAACAAAGTGTCCAGCTTCTAATTACAGCTAAAACTTTGTCTTAAATACAAAATTTATTGTCCCCCCTCCCCTTGTTATCCAAAGCATCGAAGAACTCAAGTCAACATATGCTGGTTAAAGCTGAATTAGAAACATAAATAATTTACATCCAAAGAACAACCTAATATGACACACAAAAGAACTTGTACAGATTTTTACCTTTAAGGGCAAAAGCCTAGTAATGCAAGAAAGTATAACCAGACCATAGAATTGGTTAAAGGGATATACTGTTGTGTTTAGTCATGTACATATAACAGGTATATAGTGCCTATTCCACAAAGAAAGATATAAGCTGATGAATCTCTGTCTTAAAATGTAATCAAGATCATACAGGGAACATAGGGACAACCCAGAAATAAACTAATTAAATTAAATTAAATTGAAAACTTATTATTTGAAGGAAGACTTCTTCACTGATTTAAAAACAAGTTAAAATATGTATTTCAAAATTAACAAATTTTATCGTTTGTCTAGAATGTGAATAAAATGACTCAAGTGTACGTATTTTTAAAGTCTGGTCAGATACTCTGCATGTAACATTCACATATACATCCTACGATTTATCTCCTACCCGGGCACAAATAAAAACCCTAGTGAATGCACTGCAGAGTTGAAAACTAAACAGAATGAAACACACGCGTGATTTTCTGTAACATCCCCTAAACCCAGGCAGCTTGCTCTTAAGTCTCCTAAAACAAACCTGCAGAGATATAACATAGTTAACCTACAGTTAAGCCTTTCAAGTGAAGAATTTCTCAAGAGAAAAGCTGTAATTCAAGTAGGGCATTGAGTAGAAGCTACAAACGAGCTGTACTTGAAGCCACACAATAACATTTGTCAGAACAGAGAAGAATATTTACTGCCACGACTATGTCATTGTACACTGCATATTAAAAGACAGTAATTAAATATTTCACAACAAAGGAAAATTATTGTCTTGAAAGTAAGCTATATAGTCCCTCCTGAGAAATTTTTTCTGATCAGCTACTTTTTCTGGCAAAGCTCCCTTTGAATTTCCTACTGTCACTAGCCAGTTTTGGAACTGGTAGCATAAGGCAAATTACAGGTTGGTTTTTTAGTAATTCCATATGTTACATCAATAAAATATGGCTGTCTTAAATTTACTTTATCATGAGAAGTCAGAGAATGTAGACGTGAATTTGCATAAGTAATTTTCCAACATGAATACTTGAATGGCACCAAACAACTGAGTTTTAAAAAAGCAGTATCAGCAACAATTTGTCTTACTTACTGGTATATAATAGATATTCATTTTAGGGGCTTCATTGGCAGTCATTAGCATTCCTAAAAAGAGATTTCCACATTTAAAAAAACTGGTCACAAAAGGATAACATTACTTTTTAAATATTTATACATATAAAATTTGAGACATTTAATTCACTTTTTTTTAGATTTGTACTTTGGACTTAAAATATTTTTACAGAAAAAGAAATCGAAAAATGGAAAATTTGATGGCATATGAAGAAAAATATTAAAAATATTAGAATGGCAACCTGAGTATTTGTAAGGAAATAACTCTTCATAGGTTAGGAGAGTAGGGGTGAAATCACATTATTTGTAGCTCATACAGTCCATATTCTTGCCCTGCAATGGAACAACTAATTGGAATCTATAATCAATTGTTACATCAAATGCTAATGAATGGTCTGATGGCAACACAATCAACAAGCTTCCTTTCCTACACATTTATCCCCTTTTGTGCTTTATCTTAACTGCTCAGCACCACTTCAAGCAACACTAAGTCCTAATAACTGTGAGCTACCAATTTTCATGCCAAATTTAAACAGTTCATCCCATAATACTGTTTAGAACAAATCCAGTTAGCATTGCACTTAAAACCTACCTTAGGCATAGACTTGTATTATGAATACAAGGGGGTTTGGGTTTTTTTGTTTTGTTTTAAAACACACACCTACAGTCTAAACAAATTCATAAATCTTAATATGGTTTACACCTTTGTTCATATTTCATCTGGGGAAACCAACACAAGAGTAGCTTCTCAACACAAAATGAGAGACAGGATAGCGTGGCTTCAAATGCAGTAATATTAGTGATATTAGCCAAATGGGGCAAAAGTAAAACTTGAAATGTCTATGAATACACCCAAGAAACACCACAAATAAGGGCTGTAAATATTCTGAATACAAAAAACTGCTGGAGAAATACTAAAATCTGTGGAAAATCTCCAACTACTACAAGACTTCATGTGAGCTCAAAATGAGAAATACCCTCAATTTCCTTCCACATAAGAGAATAGTAAGGACATTTGGCATATACTTTGACATTTATCTCAACTTTTTATTTCAAAAATAGCTGATCACCAGGTAATACAATAAATGGAATATGAAGAAGAAAAGAGCAATCAAGTTAGATAACATGCTGATCTAAAAGTACTCAAACATATGCCACTGAGACTATGAATAATTGGGTCAATTACTACACACCCAGAGGGTAGAAATATAATTTACACCCAACTAGAGGAACGCAATTAACATGGGTGGAGTAATCCTTCCTACCTAATCCTTTTATTAAAAATACACAATGCAGCTGGACTTAAAGTGCCAGAAAAAAGGGGACTTGCTTTCCTGGCAAAGCAAGGAATTTGTGAAAGCTTAGTCAGCAAACTGATGCTAAAAACCATACATGGAAAGATCTGCAGGCAATTTAAGGAAAAAGCAAGAATTTATACTATATACGTATCTATAGACACACACACAAGGTTCTATAGCCTAGTATATAGGTTACAAGCTCCCATAACATATCAGCATGCTCGCTACTGTTTCAGGAGAAAAAACGTTTCTCCACTGACTTAATATGAGTCACTAGAAATAAAAGGACAGAAATTAATTCTGCAGGTGCTTCAAAGATGACAGTAAAGGGAAAACCTCTTCTTTGAGAGTCTTCCACCAATAATTAAAGGAGGCAAAACCAGACTTTGGAACAGTACATGGGTGTATACTACAGGCAAAATAAAAGAATTAAAAAAAAAAAAAAAAGGAACAACTGTGTGAACGGAGAAGTCTACTCCATGCATTTTCATTGTTTCAGCTTGTTAGTTTTAACCAATTTTTATGGGAAGAGAGACCACACCCTAACAAACTACACAGCAGCCTAGTTTGATCACTTTAATACAGAAATAAATAAGAACTCTTTTTTTTCAGAGGAGATGTTTTAATAAAACCATCTTTGGAAAGTGGTCTGCAATACAGTAAAAGGAATGAAAACAAGAATATGAAGCAACAGTAAAGGGGAGAAGGAGTTTTAGAAAATGCACAGTTTTAACTTAAGAATTTGTTTTCCAGTAATTAAAACAAATGAGGCACAGAATTCTATACCCTGAAGATGCTGCTGAATTTCATTTATATTCTACAACTTAACTGAAGCTGAGTCAAGGCTACTCAGTAAGTGTAAACCTTTCTTCCCCTAGCCCCATTCTGTGCATGTGTGATCAGAGAAAAGAGATCCACAACTAGTTTAAGACATTCACACTAGTTTACTCATGCAGTTTGGTCAAAGATACACAAAGGGTTGCTTCCCATGAAAGGCAGCAATACTGAAGCTGGTTGGTAAAATAACTAAATTTAAAAAAACCTCAACTACAACAAAACTCACACAAAGCTACTGAAAAAGAATAATTCAATGCAGCCCAGCATACTGGGTTTCTGAGCTGTAAGTACACACTGCTGGGTCATGCCCTTCTTTCAACCACCAGTATCCCCAAGTCCTTCTCCTCAGGGGTACTCTCAATTCCTTCATGCCCCAGCCTGTATTGATACTGGGGGTTGCCCTGCCCTGGCCTCATGCAGTTCACAGAGGCCCACCTCTCAAGCCTGTCCAAGTCCCCCTGAGTGGCTTCTCATCCTTCAGGTGTGCCAATCACACCATCAGCTTGGTGTCACCTACAAACTTGCTGAGCATGCACTTGATCCCACTGTATATTTCAATGATACAGATATTAAACAGTACTGGTCCCAGTATGGACTCCTCAGGGGACATGTCCATCTGGACATTGAGCTGTTACCCATAACCCTCTGGATGCGACCACCCAACCAATCCCTCATCCACTGAACAGTCCACCCATCAAAACCATATCTCCCATTTAGAGAGAAGGATCTTGTGGGGGACCATGTCAAAGGCCTTACAGAAGTTCAGACAGATGACATCTGTAGTTTTTCCCTTATCCACTGACACAGTCATTATTTCAGAATATTTTATGTTACAATGTAACTTCACCTTTCCACTATTTTTTTTTTTTATGTGTGGCAATGCAGTGTTAAAACGGTTTCCTACGGGTGAGATTAGGGTATGGTCTTTCTGAGCAGCAGTTTCACACCAAGTTTTAAAACACGAGCTAGGCAAACATCTTTTGGGTTCACACACGTTCAGCACTGCTCCGAGAATGCTGCAGCACCAATAAGAGCACTGAGCCATAGCCATACTAGTACATAGATATTATCTGTCCATCTTTCCATAACTATAGTCTCATATTACTGGAAGTATTTCCTTATTTTCAGATGTTCAATTGTTATTATTCTTTAAATTCTGAATGAGCATGAGGTGGACCTAGGCATTCTAAATTCTGGAGCAACAGTATTTATGACAAACATGCAATGCACCATCTATTACCTTAAATTTCTTAATTTCCATTGCAACATGCCCTAGTAGTTTTTCCCTTCTGTCTCCATATGATTATAAAATACAACCTATTTCTCATCCCATGACAGTTCTCACCAAAAGACATCAACCTGCCCCCCTACAGACACACTCTAAGAAAAACCAGTAAGAAAAGCAGAACTGACTTAAGGAGGAGACACAGGACTGGAATGCACAGTCTAGATCATCAACACATGAAAAAGTAACATCCAATAAGCAACATTAGGGAGATACGTGCATTCAATTCTTTGTGCTACAAGATTCTTCCTCCACAGTCTCATGAAAATAATTTCTGCAAAAGCACTAGAGGTATGTCTATGTATCACAGAGGCTATAGTGTCCATAGCTGAGTAACATCCATCCTTATAGATACTCAAACTTGACTGGTTATGACCCAAGAAGTTACGTACAACTTCAACTTCGGCCCTGCTTCAAGCAGGAAATATGTGACACCCAGGGGTCCCTTCTGAGCAGAATGGAAGTGACTTAGCATTTTCATCAGCAAGGTCCAGCAGACCATTACAGTTTTGTGGCTGCACAAGGTCAAAAATGCCCACTACCTCAGCAGGTATCAAGATTTAAGTGCTCATCTTCCAGAAAAAGAGAAAAAAAGGACACATTCTTAACTGAAGTTGGCAGAGAAGACAAGATAAGTTTTAACTTGTTAGAAATCTCAAACTCACTTATCTACAATCTTGAATTTGAGCTGCTAGTATGAATTGAAGTCCAAGTCGCACTGCCTTTGCTGCTACCCCTTTCCAAAATTGAGATAATAACAGTTTGCAACACATGCATTCTCTGGATCAAGACCTTTCCACCCTATGCCATCCTTGCGGCCCTGATTTTTATTTCATATCTTTCAATACTGCTTTCTAAAAAGGAAGTAGATGTCTCACAGTAGTTAAGAACTAAGTAACTCAGATCAAGCAAGGAAAATTAAGGTCAGTTGCAATCTGAGGTACAACCAAAGCATACATGCACACAGAACCACCATTTTGTAAAATATTTTTACCTGTAAGGTAGGGTCTGGAAACTTTGGTTAAAAGTCACCCTCAGTTTTGACCTCTAAACATAATGTTACAAGATGCAACAGATTTGAAAACAGTCACAGAAAGCATACAAATCTGTGTACTTAGGAATCTACTCTTAAAACCAAAGTATTCAGTCTAAGGGAGGGTATCATTAAGTGCTGTATCTAAAACAAGGAAAGACCAAACAGCTGTGAACACTTGTAAAAAATTGTAAACTTGCTGTAAGTTTAGAGGTTCTTCCTAGCTCTAGAAAGCAAGCTTTAACTCATCTGGGACTTAGCCGAGACAAAAAGCCAGAATTCCCATTCTTATGAAATGAAACACTTCAGATATTTGAAAGAGCAAAAGAGGTCAACCACTTAATCAACAGCACAGCAGCTTCTAACTGTGAAGAGGCTCCAATCTAATACAGATGCAGAGAAAACAATGACACTAACTGACAAGTAACCATTTATTCCTAGCTCCAAGAGGAAAGTAGGACTAATTTGTATCACCTAAACAGAAAAAAAGCCCAGAACTTGGATTAACACACGGTTTCCCTTTTGAACCTAATAAAGACATTAATATAGCTCACGTACCTGAATTTGGATACAGGCAGACATCATTGATATCGTATTCTGGCTCCATTGAAGTAAATATCTTCCCCTGAAATTGTAGTAAGAAAATACATTATGAAGCATTCCAATAATTAGATTTAGTAAATCTAAACATTAAAAATGGCCATTATAGAAGCTAAGAAATTTGATGGAATAAAGATGGAACAGCTTTTGCAGAACACTAAGATGCTATTAAAGTATCTGAATGTAATACAAGCAGCTCAACATTAAATTTTGTCTCTGATCTGATAAGTCTAGCCTACTACTTGTCTAGCCTACTAGTTACTTAAGACACAGCAATGTAAAATGGCATCTCTATTTTCTCAGCTCACACTTTTGTGTTGAAAATGTATGTGTCAGATTTACTTTATTTTGTGCAAAAGGGGCGTGAGGTCCACAAGCTCCTAGCACAGTGTCAGTGTAACTCTCATCTTGTTCAACTGAATGTGGTATCTTTAAACCATTTTATTTTTTGAAATGATGGACTGGGAGTGGAATTTGAGTCTGGAACTCAGGTCTTCCACCTTGCTCATGTTACATGAAATAGGACTTTGTAAACTCAGTATTAAAGCGGTCTAAATATAAAAGTAGTAAAATCATCCAGTTGCATTTAGCTTAGATCAGAATTGAAGTTATAAAGGTTATTTAAGAAAAAGGTAAAAGTAGGAAACAATAGTCTGGGAAAAAAAAAAGAAAGAATTGGAACAGAGTCTGAAAAACCCAGACATAATACAGGTGCTCTTATAAGCCAACACACAAGACAGCCAGTAAAGGAAGAGTCTCTAAGAACTGGGCCATGGAATCTGAAGCATGAGAGTACATGCCTACATGGTTCTAAATGAGGGACAGAAGCAGAGCAAATTTTGAACCTATTCCTCTTTTTTCTTTCCCTGCAGCAATCCCACCTACCTTTCTGGGCCCTTCCTTTCCCTCCCAGTTACATGCTGTTACCCCACCCCACCTCTGGTCTCTCCCCGATGATTAATAAGAGTCCTCCTCCACCCCGGTCTTAGCAGACAAAAGCCTCATGCTCCCCACCCCAAGGCACGTCTCAGCATGGGGCTATTCTGGTATCAAAGCCATATGCTCTCCACCCCGCAGTCTGCCTCTGCAGTTGGTTCCCAGCCAGAGATAGTCAGGAACCAACATCTGGGAGAGGTGGAGCTAGCTGAAACATACTCTAGGAAAGAGTCCAAAGCTATCTTTGCCTTCCAGCAGCAAGGAACCCTCCCTTTTCCCACTGCAGAGGCCACCTGACAAACCTTACAGTGTTTCGTTCTCAATAAGGGAGATGTACATACCTAGGAAAAATGGAGAAAGGCCACTGCAGATGTTTTAAATAATAACCAATAATTTATGTGTTCTTTTAAACAAAAAAACAAACAAACAAACAAAAAAACCCCCAACAAAAAAAAAAAAATACAAAAATACAAAAAAACCAAAACCCACTAAAAAAAACAAAACTGCAGAGAAGCTTACAAAAAAATGCCTGGGATCACAGAAAAAATAAGAGGCTGTTGAAAGTTCATGAAGAAGCACAACAATAGAGAAATGACTGCCCGAAATATTCAGAAAAAAGTGTCTCTAAACTACAACTACTCTTGCTATGTTTCACTGTAAAGCCAGAAAAGCATAGATGGAGCACATTTTTGAGAAGGAAAACAATGACTAAAGATAGCCCCTCAAACCAAACCAACCAAGCTACAGTAGAATCATAGAATAGTTAGGGTTGGAAAGGACCTTAAGATCATCTAGTTCCAACCCCCCTGACATGAGCAGGGACACCACACACTAAACTATGTCGCCCAAGGCTCTGTCCAGCCTGGCCTTGAACACCTCCAGGGATGGAGCATTCACAACTTCCTTGGGCAACCTATTCCAGTGCTTCACCACCCGCACCGTGAAGAACTTCTTCCTTATATTTAAGGAAGTATATCTACAGTAGTATTACAATGAATCTATGGGGTAACATATTTCGTGCAGGCTTCAGTGGAAGAATAAGATAAGGAAAACAACAGCGTAATATAATGAAATATAGCGTTATGAAAGCTAAAAACTTCAATTTCACTTAGAGGTGCAAAAACCAGGGATAAAGATGTTGCCTACTGCAACATAATACATTAATACTGTATAATACATGTTGTTATTTGGATCTTGGCTTCAATATCCAAATAGGCTTCTGTGCAAATGAGCAGCACCTGATTTTAATGGGTCATAAACTAACTGATCTACCTTTGAAGTCAGCCCTTCTTTGTGCAGGGAGTTGGAACGACCATGTTTCTCTCTGACGAAAAATCTTAACTGGATGTGTTCAAGCACACCGAGAAATACGCAAACCAGGGCAATTGCTAAGATAACTACTTTTTCTGTTTAAATCCTTCTACTGAAAGAAGCATCTTAGGCAGACATGTACAAACAGCTAAAGAAATACCTGACTATACCTTTAAACCTGACAGGCTGTTGAATAACTTCCCAGATGTTGCTTTATCTAGTCAGACTGGACAAAATGCTATGGCAATTAGGACACGTTAAGAACGCGACTTCCTGCACTCAATTTCAGCTTTGTTACTTAAGCTGCATGGAAAAAAGAAAAAAAAAAACAGAACAAAAAACCCCCAAAAAAGTAAAAATTAGGAAATCTGAATGCACCAACATAAAACCACTCACCGTATCTTTGTTCCACATTTTTATGATTCGAGAATCTGCAGAGATAATTAAATCCAACTGACGTTGAAACTGAACTGACTTAATAGGCAGGCCATAGTGGTGATCTTTGACTATTAACGGATTACTAGACCGGAGATCATATAATAAAACCTTGAAGAATGAAACAGATTAAACTTACAATATCATAGGATCAAGAGAAAGTCACGCACACTAAAGATCTAACCAAACCTGAGGGTTTTTACTTAAAAGCAGGGACAAGATTTATATAAGTAGTTTTAAATTCTGAAAATGGAATTTACTTATTAAGTGAGCCTAGTTTATTCTGGCAATATATCTTAACCTCAACATGCTTCAGTCTAGAAAAAATAAAAGCAAATTTAAGAGCTCACCGTCTTTCTAAAGTCTTTTTAATTTCTATTGAAAAAATAAATAGTTTTTAAGGCTCTACGTAGTCCTTAATTATTAATATTTCACTTTCAGATTCTTGTGCTGTTCTTACAAGATTTAAATTTTCATAATCCCTTCCACATTCAGTGACTACCGCTTTCACTCAGTGAAACACCATATATATCTGCTCTTGAACAAGCTACAGTTTAATAAACCTGCGAAAAGACTAATCAAAGTAGAAAAACTCCCCATACTTCACTTTAAATATAACATGGCAACAAAGAATAAATGAATCTAAATGATCCCTTACAGAAAGACAGTAAAGACAATAGTTGAAAGACTTCACTTCTTCTTTAGCTACCATCAAGGTAAGGGAGAGCAGATCTGCTGCACTGAGATGGTACTGATTAAGAGTCTCAAAAGGTAGCAAATTCCCCACATACTTCATAAGAAAACTACAGAATTTGAAGTTGTGTAGTGTGTAGGTTGTGATGATATTAAGTGGTCCTTACTTCTGAAGGGCAAGATCATTTGACAAAATTAATTTGCAGTTTAAGAATGGCTACTGCTACTCTGAGCATGTAATTTATGCTCTTGTAAACACTTGTATTCATAGATATTTACATTACAATAAATGTACTCAATGTGATAGACCTGGACTGGGAATTGCAAAAACAGGATCTCCTTAGAACTGTTGTAGATGAAGTTAAGTCTACCTGCCCAGTCGATGTTCCAACAGCCATAGTCAAAGCTCCATCAAATTTCAGTGCTGAAATGGATGGTAAACCTTCTATCCTGCAAAGCACAATGCTTAAAGTTAGACATTTTTTCAATAAAGGCTGCAAATAATTTTTAAATGTTACAAACAACTAAGACAATGTAAATTAATTTACAGATACCACTCAGAAACACTACTTCAAACAGCTGTATTGTTTACATTCACAACTTGTGGTCGTATAGAATAATATATGCTACTAAGATCAATAACTAAGAGACTCCTTTATGACTAAGAAAACTCTTTATTCACCCTAGCAGTCAGAAGAGAGGACCACAGGCATGTCATTTTAATGCAAAGTGGGATTTGTTTCTAAAAGCAAAACTTCTGGGAAAAAACCAAACCAAAAGATGACACTTTGAAAAGGTAGCCTTTACTCACTCAGTGTCTGCTGTCACACTGCTTAAAGCACAGTCCAACAGCCCAACTCGATTTCTAGTTCTAGGATCCCAGCATTCCACTTTACCCTAGAGAGTTTAGAAAATACATTTCAAGCGTATGCAACAGATGCCTGGTATCCTGAAAATGTTTAAATAAAAATATGAATTATTTAATCTATGATTAATAAAATTTCCTAGCTTAATATGAGTTGTTCTAATAGTAGCATACAAGCTCCACACATTTCACTTATGATTTTTAAAAATGTGATCTAAATCAATATAATTAACACTAAATCTCTGAAGATTAATAGGGTACACATGCTAGCTAATTTCTACAGATGGCTACACTGTAAAGTAAGATAACATTGTTTTCTCTCCCATCTGCAAAATTCTCAAGCATCTCAGCAACCAAAGAAGCTCAGAAATTGTATCTGTCCTATGCTCTAAAAAGTCATCTTGTTTAACAGATCTATGCTTAACACAGCCAATGAGATCACATTAATTAATTAGGTTCCTGTCATGACGACTTCTTATCCTCACACAAACCAATATAAAAAGCAAACACTACTGCTCTTTTATTAAAAGGAATGCAAACATTTACCTCAGCCGTCCCCATTGCAAAAAGGAAGTGCACAGGATTTATGTCACAGACATTACTCTCTCTAGAACAGAAAAAGGAGCAAGTTTAATGACCTCAGGCTAATTTGACACATGAAAAACCAAAAAGATTTCTGTAATCAGGTACACAATTGCTCAGCCTGGAAAAGCAAAAGCTGGAGGGAGTGATGGATGGCCACCTAACAGCAGTTTCTTATACTAAGAGGAGCTTACCAAGAATTTGGAGCCATTGGAGACAGTGCTGATTACTTGAAATAGATAAGGTTCCAACTGGATGCAAGGATAATGTTTTTATGCTATGAGGATAATTAAGCACTGGAACAGGTTGCCCACAGAGGCTGTGAAACTTCCATCCTTGGAGTTTCCAATATCCCCTAGGAAAATTCATCTGAGTTCAGCATGACTGTGCCTTGATCAGGAGACTGAGCTATGAGGTTCTCTCCAACCTGAATGACTCTGCATTTCTTTGTCCATACCCACCACCTACCACCAAGCCTTGCCATATTGCTCTGCTCCACTACATTCTTAAACAACCCAGTTACGTCAAAAGGTCTTCTCAATTACTCATATTCAGAAACTTACACCTCCACCACATTCTGAGGAATGGCCCGTCTTCCTTTCCCTCACCCAAGTATCCTATTTCTCAACAGGGCAACCAAGAGCCCTGTATTTTTCCAGCAACTCTTCCAAAGTACAAATATTTCTCTTTACACGACTCATCCCTGCACTTTCCAGCTTCTTCCATTCAAAGCCCTCCACCTCCAATTCTATAACCCACCCAACTTCCCTACTTCACAACCTTTTCACAACTTCAAGTCTCACCTTTCAAATTCAGATTTTACACTATATGCTTAGCACCCTTGCTGCAGGATTCCCCCCTTTTTTTCTCTTCTACGGCTCAGTTTCTGTAATGTGCCTTCCCAAATATTGCTTCATCCATTAAGCTATCCCACCCACTGAATACCACCCGTTGCCCATCAACGAGTCACTTTATCTCATCAAGTCTGTTGTTCTCATCTGCCTCTCCCAACATGAAAGAAGCCCAGCTCCTGCTCTGGTAGTGTTTTCAAAAGAATGAGACAAATGCTGGAGATATAAAAATTCTCTTTGGGCTACTCCAAGAGCAGAAGGACAAAGACATGTCTGGGAAAGTACATCCCCTGTGGGTAGATCTCTATATGATGGCTAAATTGAGCAATAATGGCAAAGTTTTAATGAAATGTTCTGAAGATCAAGTTATATAATACGTACTACAAGTCTATATTAAGCAATTTTAAAATATCCACAAAAGAAAACTCAATTAAAACATAAAAACGAGAACAAATAATTACAGAACATAAAATAAAACGAGGCTCAGGCTGCGCATATGTTCCTTTTCAACTCTACAACGCGTTTGGGCAGTATTCGGATACAGCATTTATGGCAAGCACGTAGTAGTTTGCTTCCACCTGGTGGAAAGAAGACACATAGGCGTCATGCATTACAGATAACTTACGAAGCATCAGTTTGCAGGGAGTTCAGAAACCTTCCTTGTTCCAGATTTAGCCTGTATACTTCAGAACTACAAAGGAAAAAACGAAAATTACTCCTTCCTCTTATGAATACTGAAAAATACTGTTGTAAGTTAGGAATAGTTATAAAAGTTCTGACAGCCTAATTTTACCTAATACATAATTTGCAGACTTCACAATCTAAATAAAACATAAGACAAATCTAACCTTCAGTGTTAAAACCAGACAAAAATGTGCATGTTTACCAAATATATTTATTACACTGCAATAGCTTACCAATTATTCTTTTTGCAGGGAAAATGAATTTGTTTAAGATCTTTTCAATTTCCTGTGATTTGTTACATCTTGAATTGCTACTTACTTTGTTTGAGACCCTACAGACCTAATTTTATTACTATGTCTTCTCACAGAGTCAATTAATTATCTTATGTGATTTGACTCACACTTTAACAGCAATAAAACATCAACCAGGATAGAAAAGCTACTTAATTTTCCTTACTTAGATACTAATCATTTCAAAACAGTACAATGAATTGCAGTTTCTGTAACAAATTTGCAAATATATGATGTACCTGGTTTAAGAATCAGAAAGTCTTAAAACATTACAGGAAACTGAATTAATCTTAAGTCTTCCCACATTTACCACTCTTCACAAACAGTCTCCACTATTAATTTGGAAGGAAATGTCACTTCTTCAAATTTTTAACTTTTCTGGTATTTTAATGTTCATTTTATTCTTGGAAAATCTTGCGAACAGTAGTGAAATAAAATAACATTTCATCAGTACCTTGCTCCTACAAAATACAAGTCACATGATGGATAGTGGTAAGAGAAATCTCTACCAAATTTTGGTATTCTTGTCTTGTAGTAATGGCCATGCTGTGAATGAAACTCCACAAACCTGCCACACTGCAGGAAGACAACCTGAAAATAAAATATAAAGCACTGAAACATACAGAAGCAGACTACAGTCTCCTCAACTTATCTTACAGCACAGACCCCAGTGATTTTTCTCAAGCTCACATAGGTTGATCACAACTCCTTCAAACCATTTCTATTAGAACTATCCACGAGAGTATATGTGATACCCTGAAAGCAACTCTGGAACCAGAGCAGTATTAGTTATCTTCGTGTTGTGCTGCACCAAAATTAACATCTGTACTTCCTTCAGGCACCAGATTTACTAATTTCTTTCAGTTACAATGCCATGCAGACACCAGTATGTTCATAGGTATTAAGAACAGGAACTGTATGTACATCATGATGCACAGCAGCGTTCCAATAAATGAAACCAATGACCTTTGTACATTTTTTTTTTGTCTGCCATCTGAATAAGCACATTTTTTCTTTCTGAAACATAGGCAAACATCTCAGACCTGGAACACCCCACAGAAAAGCATTTCTAGAAGGCCAGATCTACACTGGTAAATAAAATAGGCCAGAACTTGCCTCTATAGTCCTGATGGCAAGTTAACATAGCACAACTCATATCCACGTGAAAGAATTCTTCCCACTCCAGAGACAGCATCGTCCACAACCTCTGTTACACTCATGCTGTATCTCAAACCATGCTCAGGCACTATGTGATGAACAGCTGGCCTGGCCCAAACTCATGCCACAGTGCATGCAAACAATTAAATGATACGGATAATCACAGTCTAACTCTTGACTCTGAGCCTCATCCCTATTTAGCTTAGATTTAGAAAAGTTGCAGTTTAGTTTAGATTATGTATAGTCCATGCATCTTCTAAAAGTAGTAGATAATGAAGATTTTAAATTTCCTACTGCTGAAGTACACTGTTAACAACACAAATAAGGATGAGAAGCTCAGGAAAGGCGAGGTAAAGAAGCTATTCCAAATGTCATTTTTATTTATGTATTTGTACATTCTTCTGAGACACGAAGAAAGTACTCATCTGGGCTAGAACTTCACACTTATTTATCAAGTCCCCCCCTTACTTACACTTTTTCTGATATCAAAACCCCTAATGTTTCAACTTGTATTTGTGGACTCGCTCATCCTGGTCCACGACCAAGTGGAGTATCATCTTTCCGAAGCATAACTACAATTTCACATGAGATCACAGATGCAGCTGTGTAGTTGATGTTATTCAATGATGCTTTTCATATACATCCCAATCAATCCTTTGTGTGCTTAATGCCTTTGTATTTTTAACTGACTAATGCTTTATGCTTTTAAGTGGACGTTTACAACAAGCAAAGCTCTTTACAGAAGTTCAACTGGCCTTATGGATACCAACGTGAATGAAAGCCAGCAACGCACTCGCACTGTATAAAATGCAAATAAGTCTCAAGAGGCAACCATATGAGGACAGGGGGAACAGACTGGAGAGAAGCTAATTTCTCTGGGGTACTAAAGCACAAAGTAACAACTTACTCAGTGAATTGTGCAACTGCCATGCTTGCAGGTTTTGACAGTCCTGTTCAGATGTCTGAAGGTCCCCCTCCAATCAGTATTTTCATGATTCTTCAAGTGTAATTTCTCAAATACTATTCCTTCTCTCTACCATATTCAAAACATTATGACAGCTACGTGAAATTAGTTTTCTTTCTAATGATTTGGTAAGTTTTAGGAAAATAAAATTCAAAATCGGGTTGTATTAAATTGTGAAAGAAGGAATTTGGTCTGAAATACAGTACTGATTACAGCTGAAAACACACACAGCAGTTACTGTTCATAACCAGTCAGAAACATATTTGCAAACACAGTGTGTTCCTCAGTCTCCCAAATAACTGTTTGGTTTGTACAACCAGAAACACCCTCCCACAGACAAACAAGCAAGAGGCTGCTGTACTGTATCAGTCACTGCCTTCCGCTACTTGAATTCATGTACATCCTTGGAAATCTCATGGGAAAAATTCTGAAAAGACTAAACCTAGAAGGCTAGATTACATTGTCTCTGATGAAATAAGAAATATTTATTAAAATAAGCAGGTACCAGAAGTGCTAAGGTCTCTTCAGGGAGTGAGGGGGAGAAAGTATCAAAACACTTAAAAAAATCCCAAACAACTTTACTTCTCTCCACAATTTTTGCCTCATTCATATGCTTACAATCATGCTGGCTACAACAACACTGAGAAATTAGGCTATTAACTAACCTGCAGCTATCCCATCTCTCAAAAATGGTGTACTTGTGTATCACTTGTCACAATGGATTGTGACTGAATGTTATCGTAGAAAGAATAACTAATTCCATTTTCCCCATTATTTTGTTTGTAGGAAAAAGCATTATTTGACATTTTTCTCTACTGCAGACAAAAGACTTTAAAAGTGGTAAGACAAATTATAATACAAAGAGACAAAACCCCCACTTTTAATGTACAAAATAATGTTTATCCTGCTTGCTTTTTTAAAAAAACCTTTCTGTTCCAAAAGTTGTGTTGACGGCCTTTACTATATATGCAAATGCATTTTAATATACATATTAAACCATTTTTTCATTTATACATTGAAAGCATTCAACATACCTTTGAGTAATCATCTGATAAAATCTCAAACGTAACCACTAGAGGAGAGAGCAAGAGAATTTTAAGTCAAATAAGTAAGCAAGCTTACTTGCAAACATTGGCATAAATCCCAAAAACATTTTCACTCACGCTAACCTTTAGTCATGTAAGTATTCCCCACAGGTGTCAATGCATAATGCAGGCATTGTGATAAAATCTTTAATTATATAACTCTATTTGCAAAATAACAAGTAGTTTTCTAAAACTTTAGAAATATATGAAGCATCTTGTAATCTCTTTATCGTTCTTTTATACTTGACACGTTCCTCAACACAATGCTCAGCTGTGTACTTAGTGGCTTGGGGAAGGTGTAATCAAACGATTTTCAGTAAGTGTGTGGTCCATGGACCTTTGGTAACCCGTCAAAGATGATAAAAAATGACATAAATTTGGACATACTACACACAAACTTGCACATGAAATCCTTCTAAAGGGACAGGACTTCCACAGAAAGAGTTTAATGCTCAAAAAAAACCACAAATTTCAAAGCTACACTGCTGAACACTGCAACGTATTGAACTTTGCCTAGTTTTAAATGAGCTGGGTTGGGAACATTAGGGAATAGCTCCTTCAGCTAAACTGGTTCCATTTAAATGAGGTAGCTCATTTAAAGTTACCTGAAGTGACTCTATGCTACCTTACAAGTTAAACATACTTTTGCGGTCTAGTAAGATGCCAGTTCGAAAAAAATATACTTTAAGTTCTAATTACAGCAATCATTTACTATTACAATGACTTCTACTCTTTCAAATTGGGTCCCACTCTTGCCATACCTTCCTTCCCCCAACCTCTCTGAACCCCTGCCCCACTACCTCTCCTTCCCTGCTATGTTGTAGCACCATACCTTCACCCTACCTGACTCCTTGCAGCCCTGAGGCATCGGGTAAAAAAATACCACCATGCTCTCCTCCCCTTTTCCTTACCTAACTCAGTAGTTCTCAATTTTTATTTTTCACACCACTTTCACACACATCGCAGACCAGTTTCATTTTTCCATAATGATTAAGGACTTCTGCCACTCTATGCTCATCCCCTCATTGCTTTGGTCACCCCTCTATCCCAGTTTTCAGCTATCTATCCTCTAACATCCCAGTCTTCTAACAAAAAACAACCCAAATGCCATTCCTCAAATCTGTGCACTCTAAAACTCAGAGCCACAGCAGCAATGACCTCCTCCCCTAGTCTAACTGCCAGCAGATTTCCCCTTTCCCATTGACTAGGTGGCTCCTGGCTTCCCTCACCACAGTTGTTCTCTGTCCAAATTAGTAGCAAACAAGGCATAATTAGATTCTTGGCCATGCTACCATCTATCTCCAAGAACCTTGCTTCCAAGAAAACAAACCAATCAACCAACCCACTCCCAGGAAATCCTCTTTACCCTGTAACTCACTGAGCTTGGGCTCCAGAAAGAAAACAGTGAGAGCTCATTTCAGGAGCAACAGTGCAACCATAGTGCATTCTCCTAACTTAATGCTTCAAAGAAGGGTAAAGAAGGGAGATCTGGCTACCACCCAGCCATTGTACCCACATCACATTCCCCACCCCAAACAGAGCACAGACTTCCGCCTCACTCCCGCTCTGGGCCCTGTGCTTACTGGCTCCAGATAAATCTTACATTCATCACACCACTCCAAGGGAGGAAAAAACTTTGAAGGAGGAGGAAAAAGAAGATACAGAGGTAAAGACGAGGTGATGTTCTACTCTAGATTCTTACATTCACCCAATGTACATTTTGTCCCCTAGGCACAGGGACGGAAGTTTCTACTTGAGTCCAGCCTGAATTACGTATAAAAGACATCTTGTGCTAACAGCTATAGCTTATACTAACCTTCAGAATCTAAGCATCTTTCAAATTTCTGGGATAACTGATAGGCATCAAAACAGCGGATCCTTGGCTTGTACGTTCCTGGAAGAAGAATTTGATCTTTAATTAAAAATTTAAACAAAAAGATTAACATTAAAGCTTATTTTTCTTTCCTTTTTTTTCTTTACTATAATGTCTTACATTACTGCATTTCAACTATAAATAGTCTAAAGTGTCTGTGACTGGAAAAACATGTCTCTCAGTAACATAATTCTACAGCCTCGTTTTTGTCTTTGGTGCCTGAAAGCACCCTTCTTGTATGTCAGCTCTTCTGATTTACAGAATCAGAATTCTGTTATTAAGAATTGAATAATTCAATTATTCAATAATTTTTCAATTAAGAATTGAATAATACCTTCCGTATGTCTGAAAGACTCCTTACGTTATTAACACCTACTAAAGTATTCATGTTTGGATCCTGCTTTGACAAAGTTACAAAATGTAGCATTATCCTCCATCCTTTAAAACAGTAATGACAATGATGTGCAGAAGTTATTTAAAGCAAATTTACAGACAGACAATAAAAATAATGAAGAATTTAGTTTTCAACTGTATTATAAACAGTTTAAGGTTTAATTATATTATAAAAGCCTAGTGGCAGGGGAGTTGGAACTAGATGATCTTATAAGGTCCCTTCCAACCCAAACTATTCTATCATTCTAAGAACATTTGTATACTAAAAAGCAGAGTTTCACAATACCACCACCAAGACAGCCACTCTATCACATCTTAAGAGTAAGCTTCCAAAACTCTGTTCAATGTTACATCCAAAAATGAATTCTTACCAATTCTACCTGAAATACTAAGTCATTCTGCAATCAAGGTTTTCTAGCACTTTGGGCCTCTGCTACAGAGAGATGCTTTGTTAACTCACCAACTGCCATAATATACTGTCCATCTCTTGATACCTTAATCTTTGTGCTAACCGTGGGCATTTCAAAGTCTTGAATAAGCTCAATTCTTCTACGGATATCTATAAAGAAAAAAAAAAGAAGTTGTAGCACAGTTTATCAGTACAAGAAACTGTTAATGGTTTCTTATGGAAGAACACTGAGTTAATTGGATATAAGGAATATCTTTAAAAATGTATCTTCAATTATATTCTTTTAAATATCTTTAAAAGAATCTTGTAAACTATAAAGATCTTTTAAGTATAATTAACGTGTTATATGCAGATTAATAGTTTGTTAACCCCGTGAAGTGAGATACCTCCATGTAAAAATAAAAGTCTATTCTAAGGTAACTACAAAATAAATTATTATATAATGTAGTAGCAAATATTTATCACACATTTTATGCTACTAAGATGTTGAATAATATATTCCATCCTCTTGTTAACTCTCTATTTCTTGTTGAGTTTCTTATACGTCCCTTCCTAGCCATTTTTATTTTGTATAATGAGTTTAAGATAAAATGGTGATCTTCCTGTACTCTAAGATTAACATAATACAGTAGAGGAGTTTATGGTTGGAATACATATACTATAGGGAGTTTATAGTATATATGTATATACAGTATATATGGAGTTCATGGTTTGTAAGCTATACATGTAATTCATCGATCATGTTTCTGTACAATCATGTAGTCACATAATTAATCCATCACGTTTCTGTACAGTCTACAACCCCAGTATTTAATGTCTGAAATTGAACACAATACCGATAATATTCTGCTCACAGGAAGTTGGAGTAATTATTTATAGCTTTAATTTTGTAGTTTTTAAAACGCGAGATACGCATAATTTCCCTGTATCAGCCAATGAAGTGTCTCCCTCTGGATTTGCATGCTGTATATGTGTAAAGAGTATTACTGAAGATCCTGTGATAGGAAAACTCACCCACATCTTTCTTTTGTAAAGCTCTTTTCTTCCTGTCTGAGAGCCACTGCAAGAAAATAATTAAATCAGTTTCGAGCTCATTATTCATAAAGGAACCAGAGAATCACTTAAAAGTTTCTCCAACTTGTAAGTACAAGATATTCAAGCCATTGATTCTTTTTTCCTTTTTTTATTGATTATTTTATTATTTCCACTGTTACTTTTAACCATTCCATATCAAAAAAACTTATGAACTCGTGGGCTTTAGGGGTCTGCAGACTAAAACACCTACAGTTAGAGATGCACTCATTCAACCTGCATTCGTAGCTTAAAAATACCTGTAGCTGGTTTCAGTTACCGACCATCCACCCTCACCACAAGCGCACCCGGAGCAGGGGCAGCTCCATGAGCCGCTCGGGCCCAGGCTGCACGCCAGGCCCAAAGCGTCAACTCGCTTCTAAAAGCTCCCGCTACGGGAA